ACATACCTAGAATATATGATACATAACTATCACTCTCTTCTCATTCCTTCTCATGTCTTCTCAAGTACTTACATGCCACATTTTTAATCCACACAAGCTGAGTGGCGCTAACTGTTAATGTCAGATAAAACTAAGCCGCATCAATAAAGTCAAACAATATTTAATCGCACGCAAATATGGAATATACACGCACACACGTATATATTTACTTGTAAGCTATTCTTACAAATGCATGTATCATATTATATATACAACTATAATTGATTAAGTGAAAATTTTAATGCAAAATTCTGCACAATGAACACACAATTAAGCGCTGATAACAGATAAAGCGAATTGAAGCGCATTTACATTAGTATATATGTAAGTATATATATGTATATAATAGACAAATGAATAAAAATTTAATATTAGAGCAATGTTAGGGGTTCTAAATTGCTTACAAATGAGCTGGTACGATAAATCAATGCAACAAATGTGGCATAAACGAAATTTTAGTAACAAATATATATTTATATATACAGTAAATATATATCCATATGTATATACATATTTAAACCTGTTTTCATTTAATCGCAAAGCAATCCAGCAAAGCTGCGGTAATGAATACCGCACAATGTGCAACCGCCAACTAAGCGCCCGATAAAGGGATTAATACTAAATTAATAATGCTAGACAAGGCAATGGCCGCTACGTAAAGGATAATCAAAGCAGAACGTGTTTATAGGTATACATACCTATGGTATATACATATATATGTGAATATGAATTTGTTATCATGCAACGCGACAAATCGACGCGCTAAAAGGTAACCGGTAAATTGTGGGGCCATTGACTATATTAATAAACCACGAGAGTGTGTGTGCTAAAACCGGGAGTGGCAAAACGGCACAAATATATAATGTTTGGAAATATTTATTTGTATAAATATGAGTATGTAAAGTAAATTATTGAAATAAAATATTGAATAAATATTGAGTTGATGGAAATTCACACAGAAGCGTAATTTCATTGATAACAAGCAAAATAAAATCTTTTTTTTTTAAATTTAACAAAAGCAAAAACAAAAAATACATTAACTTCGGTTAACCCGAATACCCTTCACAGTTGCATTTCTTATAGCATAAAAAGGTATAAAAAGATCTCTTACTTGATTTTTATCGGTCAGTTTGTATGGCAGCTATATGCTTTATTGTTCCGAACTAAATAATATACTCGGTTATTAGAGGCTTTTCTTTGACTAAAATCTGTACCAAATTTCGTAAAGACACATTGTCAAATAAAAAGTTTTCCATACAAGGACTCATACTACCATCAGTTTGTATGGCAGCTATATGCCATAGTAGTCAGATCTGAACAATTTGTTTGAAGATTGTACCGTTGCCTCAAAAAAAATTCATGTTAAATTTCGTAGAGATATCTGATCAAGTAAACAAGTTTTCCATATAAGTATATGAATTTGATCGATCAGTTTGTATGACAGCTATATGCTATTGTTGTTTGATATCGACAGTTCCGACGAATGAGTAGCTGCTTGAGGAGAAAAGGACGTGTGCAAAATTTCCGAACGATATCTCAAAAACTAAGGGACTAATTTGCATATATACAGACCAACCGACATGGCTAATTTACTTTGTGCAGGGCATTAAAAAACAATTCAAAACAAATTTGAAACAAAATAACCGAACAAAACATGAAAATGAAATTTTGCTTTTAAACCAGATTTTACGTAGCAAATTACGCATGCGCAACCGCAGACTGCGGCAAGCGCACCACTTAATTGGACGCGGCCGGCTGATAGTACGCGAACCCATACAATACAGGCGCACATACACGCAATTTCATGCATTGTTATATCTATATACATATATGTCATATATACACATATACGTTATATATAAATATATATTGTGATATATATACTTATCAGCATAATACGCACACGGTAAACTGGCGGAAATTAGTGCGCGCGTCGCGTTGCGTTGCTTTTGCCACAAAGTTGCGGTTACCGTTGATTAGGTTAACTACTTTCATATGCTCGGCACTGTCCTGCCGCCACACTGCAGTGTTGTTGCTCTTGTCGCTGTTAATTTCATCACAATACTATCACTGCTTTTGTTCGCCATTGTTGTTGCAAGCATTGGTTCAAAATTTATCGTCTTTCGCAATGAATTATAGTGGTCACCAGTTAGCGGCATGAGCGTGTGTGCGCATGGCATATAAGTTGGTTATAATGTGCTGCGTAACGTTGCACCTCATATAACTCTACTTTGCCGAATTGTGGTTTTTGGTTATACAAAAACAAAAATAAAATAAAAACAAAAAAAATTAAATAATCTTGTTTAATAACTTCGTAACAGTAGTTATTATAGTTGTACTCGCTTATTTGTTGCTGACAATTTTTTCACTATCATGTTGCCTTTGTTCTTGCTTTTATTGTTGTATATGTTGTTGGTTTTGTGGTAGCTGCTTTCATTTGTTGTGGCCGACGTTTATAACAAGATTGTTTACCATTTCAATGAAGTTAATTAGAGAAGCGCTGGTTTATCTGCCGTACGTGCGTGTCATGTGCTCATATGAGGCCTATGTGTGGATACCCGTAATTGGTTGCATGTGTGTTTGAGAGATATTGCTTGATTTAATTTTCACCGTACACTTGTTTTTGCATTTTCGCTAATTTCTCTAAAGCTTTTTTATAATTACATTCAAGTTAAATGATTTATAACTTTTTTAACTGATGCCTAATAACAGTTTATCTGAATGAAATAAATTGGACGTTGAACTTAGTTTGCTGGTAACCAAAATTTTTATGAGAGAACCAGGGTTGTGAATTATTTAATTAAAACATTGTGGATTAAATATTATATTTTTACTAACCAAAAATGTAATAAAAATTGAAAATTTTTAATTTTTAACCCAAGATTGGAAATAAAAATTGAAAAATAATTTTTAATTGAAAAAAAGGTCAAAAATGTTTAAATTCTCAACCCAAAGCTTTTCAGAATAATTCCATTTTGTAATGAATTTTATATATGCACATAAATGCAGGGCTATCATATGTAAGTACGAATAAAAAATAGTTCTATAAGCTAAAAGGAGGTTTTGGTAGGTGTTAACTGTTTTATTCATATAGCATATCTTTTTTTAGCAATATTTAATTATAAGTAAGTATTATTGTATTTTTTTACAAGTGTATATGTAAATGAAATTAAAAAGTTATAAATTATATAAACTGTAAGCACATAAGCATATGCAATACACGCGCACCCTCTTTAATTGCATAGGCATAACTAATAAATAACATACCGACAGCTTGAAAGTGACTGGTTTATTTTATTTTCTACCCTCGTTTCAACTATTTTATGTTACATATTGATGCACTAACAACTTCAGAAGAAATTCGCGAAAGACTATACATAAACAAGTGCACTTGAATTATTTGTGCTTGCATTACACCTTACGAAGTGTCACGAAGTTATATACGCACGTGTATGAATCTGCACACACCGCACAAACTAATCTTATTTCCAACCACACAATACTTACATGCATACATACGAACATATAAGAGTAGCTACTAACCTTGAAATGTTTGTTTTTGCTTTAATCAGCCTCCTAACGTTATTTCTTCCTCTTCGTTTCGTCAATTGCTTTCAATTTGCTCCCGGCCGACGCGTCGCTCTATGGCGCATACTCGCTGCACTTAATTATTTCACACGCGAATTTAACACTTTGAAAATAAGGCCCACACTAATTTTTTTCGACAGTTTGATAAAACACTATCTCAATTTTTATATTTTTAATAAACAATTACATTAACCACGGTATTTAAATTAATAATTTCGATTTCACCAAACTAATTTTGCAGCGAGTATTTGCACGAGCGAATGACGGAAACTGACACTAAGACAGTTACCAAACGGTAGATATGTAGACTAATTTGCATCTCATTTGCAGGGTGCCACGCGAGCAGACAAATACAAAAGGAGAAAATAAATGGAAAACCGAATTTAAAAATGTATGTTGTTAAATTTTTAAACTCTTGCAACATGTTGCTACAGACTATAATATTTCACCTAACGTTTGTATGATATATATATAGGGTTATGTAGATATATGTTTATAAATGATCAGGATGACGAAACGAGTTGAAATCCGGGTGACAATGTGTGTGAAAATTGAGATATCTTCTCAAACAACAAAAGGGGCAATGTTGGCGGCAAATTTAATAATAAAAAGCTCGACGGAAGCCAGAAAAAAATTCTTGTTTGGCGCCTGTTTGCCAGTGTAGCTTTAAAAGCGAACCACTTATTGTATATAAAAATCAAGAAATTTATATTACTGTACTCTTTGGCCTGATCTCCCGACATGTCCTTACGGAAAAATATCTTTAAAGTGGTACCAAGACAATAAAGTGACTGTTGTTCCTAAAGAGGCGAATACTCCGAATTGCCCAGAGCTCAGTTCAATTGAGATTGACTGGCCATTATTTAAGCAAAATTATTATATACCCCACAAGCTGTAATGAAAAAAGAAATATGTTGATATTAACTTTCAAAAATACAAAACCCGTATGTACTAAGTTTAACGTATAAATTTAATTGTTTTCTTTAAATGTCTGCATATTCACTTTGCTCCAATTTTATTTAATTAATTTGTCTTTCTTTGTATTTTATTTTTTGAATTTTTTATTTTTATTTTGTAAATCGAACTAACTTTTTGATTAAAACTAAAAATGTTATATTAAAAATATTTTAATTTAAAGTTTGAATATATTTTATATATTGATGCAACTCTGGTTCCACTTTCCTTGTTCTAAACACTTTCCGCTTCAACCGAATTAAAGAAAACACTTCAGAAAATTGATACATTCAAAGTTATTGAGTTCAACGCCATTTTCCAATATATACATATACTATATTCTACTATTTTCTAATATATATAGAACATATGCACCCAAAGTATATTAATTTTTTAATTAATATTAAGTTCTTTTTATTAAGTAAAAATTTCATTTACCTGTGCACCACTCTGTTTTTGTCATCTTGCTTTGTCTGTAACTGTTTCGGCTTAAGTTTCCGTTTTTCGCGCGTGTTAGATTTATCGCAAAAAGTAGTTCGTGAATATTGTTAATATTTTATTAAATATTGTACCTAATTCGAAAGTTTCTTAAAAACTCAAGTAACGGAATTTCATTTCATCGATTTAATATAAAAAATGAGTGCGGGCGTTGTTTTTAATGTGTTAAATTCATATGTGAAAAGTGGAATGAATGTTGTGAGTATCGTGGGTGAACGTAGTCGGGTTTTCTTACAAAAATTACTCGCTTATAATAAATTAAGCAAGCGAATCAAGCATTTAGAGTTGAATTGAAGAAATTTCAACTATTATTGTCCATAAAACTGTATGAGTAGTGAGGTAAGTGAGTTATACTACATAAATCAGTCCATTGCAAAGCTTTAGGGCTGCAGCATGTCTTCGTATGTATGTACATGTGCACACCTTATGTGACAGCGGAGCCCTGCCTTAATTCATCCGCGGTCATTGCTATGTGCATACATGTAGATATGCATATATTTATGTGCATTATAAGTATTGTGAAGACGTGTAAGCGGAAGATGCAAAGAACAAAACAATGTTTCACAATAACAAGAATATTAATTTCTTGTGCTAAACCACTGGCATCTAAACTGTCAATTACTGAAACTTATTGAATTTTGGCTTCAAAAGTGTAAATGAGTGTGCTATTTGTTAGTGTTTAGATGTGTGAATATTTATGCATATAAGTATATTCATATGTAAAGTGCCGTATATCTATATTTATGTGTTAATTCGAGCTAAAAGTAATTTTAGTTACTATATGAGAAGAAAATTAAAATTTTCAGGGTTTTACTTTTATAGCTCGCTGATAAATTAAATTATTAAATTGCCTTATATTTTTATAATTGTTATTTCGTAGGTACATACATACATGTGTGCGCACATGAAAGTTACTAACGCAACATGTATCTGCTGCAATGTTGCTCAACATTCTTTATGTTTACTATATGAAAAAGCAGTTGCGCAACACAGCGCAAAGTCAAAGAGGCAGCAACCACCAAACACAAACAAAAGAAAATGCGTTCCACCACATGCCATCAGCTGGAATTCACATACAGTTTGTTTATAATATCCACTTGTGAATTACTGGTTTTGAAATTAATTTCGTTGGTGTGAAACAAAATTTTGAAGAAACTTTGTTTGTAGAGAATGAAACGTGGAATTGTTGAATTGAAATTACAATCCACAAAAAGCAATAAGGAATGTTTGAAAAGTGAAATTCATAACAAAGCAAAGTCGTTATTTGTAGACAGCAAACTAGTATTGCGAAGAATGTTGTTGAGTTAATATGCTGTTATTGGGATTTGAGTGTTTGAGTTTGAGGAAAAATTGTTTACTAATGCGCTTGCGGTGCGAATTGATGCTACTAAAAATTACTTTATGAAATTTCTATTTAATTTTATTAAAATTATGTGGATTTTAATGCTTTAAGCTGGCTGTTTCATAAAAAAATTTATATCGATAACATTAATAGCAATAAAATAATAACCTAATTAGATGATCTGAATATGTGCATATGGTATTTTCGAAATAATTGTAATTTTTTTCTTACTAACTATGAAAGTAAATACAAAGAAGTTAAATATTGAATGAAAAATAAGAAATATACTGAAGTAAAATCTGAAAGTGCTTGAATAACTTTTATTTTATTACAATTTATATTGTTTGCTAGAAACTATTCGATAACACATTTTAAAATTTTTGTTTTAAGATAATTCAATTTGTTTATAAATTTTAGTTAATGGAACTATATGTATTAGTTATAGTTAAGTTTATTGCGCTATATTTATTTTTATGTACTTTTTTGCTTTTAATTAATTTATGCACTACATGAAAAACTCTAACTCTAATTTATATATTAATAAAATTATTTTATTTTAGCTCAGAAAATAATAATAAAAAAATTAAATTCAGAAAAAACTTGCGTAATAATAATTTTTAATTAAATGAAAATATTTATCATAAAAAATATTATATAATAGAAAATGTGTTATGCGATTTATATGTACTTATATATTGGTTATAGTTATTTTTTTTTAAAGTATTTAATATTACATATTCAAAAAAAAAAAAAAATTTATTAGATTGAATTGATTGATTTATTTGAATTGATTGAATAGTAAAAAAATAAAAATACACCAAAAAATAAAAAAATCCAAAAATAATTATTAAAATAAAAAGTCGATAACTTTATTAAGAAATAAGGCTATAAAAGCAAAACAGATAAACTTTTTATTATGTTTTTAAATTTGTAGAATCTGACTTAAATGTTTTACTATGTATTTTAAAAATTAAATTATATCCATTAGTTATTTTTCCCACTAAGGAAAATAAATAAAACAAATTTTTTTTAAATAAATAAATTTTTTAGTGCACTTATACTTTTATTTAAATATTTTTTTTTAAGTTTTATCTAAATTAAGTAAGTTTGTATTAGCTACAGGGTTGTGAATTTTTTAATTAAAACAATTTAGATTCAAAACTAATTGTAAACATAAAAAAAAATTAAAAATAAAAATTGAAGACTTGAAACATGTATGCTTTAATTGCAAAATCTTAGCTTGAAATTTAAAACTTAATTTTTAATCACAAAATCAGAATTAAACATTGAAAAATTATAAATAATGTGTATGTTTGAATGTGTAAGTTTGCGACCATTGCTATAGAGTATTGAATAAAATGGCTTTGTGTGAGCTTTAGTTCAAAATGGTAGAACACGAATTTTTGGAATTTAATTTTAAATAGAAACAATTTTTTTTTATATTGTATTATTAATTATAAACTTAAGATTAACATTTTTTATATACAATTCATTTTTCGAAATCGATATTTGGGATTAAATTTTTTTCTTTATATTTCAATCCGGTATTTGAGGTTAAACATTTAAAAAAAATATTAAGGATAAAAAATTTGCAATTCATTTTATTAACATTTTCGGGGATTACAAAAAAAAAGAAATTAATTTTGTATATCTATTAAATTTTTTAATGCATTAGTTGCAACACTGATTAACCAAATTACAATATAATTTTTGAAAAATAATGTACTAAATATAAGGCTATGAAAACTTGAATTAACTAAACAAATAAAAGTTAGCTTTTATTAGAAAGCTTTAAAATTGCAAGTAGGTTGTATCTTTTTCTTATCATTATAATGGCCACGCAGCAATAATTAGAATATTATTATTTATAAATTTTATGTTTTTAGTATGCGAATTCCAATTGCGCTCTCTAATTCAAGGCAAAATTTCGTGCGGATTTTTAGAAAAGCTGCGCGCAACAACTTTTTGACATAATTATTTGTAGTTAATTTGTCACAAAAGTTGACAGCAGCTTTATAAACTATTTTTTATGAGTCCTACACTGCATTTATCGCAAAATGAAAAACATCTCAAATAATCCGAACATGCACACTACTTTGGCAACACCCGCGCAAATGCATTTACATGGAGTAAATATGTGTATGCAGTCATAAATACATACATACATATGTACATGCAATGCAAATACATATTTTTACGAGCATATTTTTTGACGTGCCACACAGCTGTCACATGAGTGATGCTGCATTTAAATCCCGTTTTTCCGCTTCACTGCCGCAACGCCAACCGCTTGCGGGTTAGCTGCCAGCGTATGCAGTTGCGTCGCTGCCACACCGTGTTGCACATGATTTTCAGCTTCGAGTGCATGCCTTTATTGGTCTATATCTATTTGGTTGCACATGTGTGCTGCGCTTTTATACGCTTCATTTGCCTAGTAATTTGCGCCATTAAAAAATTATGAGCTCAGCCGACAGCCAATGATGCAGCAACAGCAATTAATAGTTGCAACAGTTTTTATTTAACGTTTTTTCTCTAGATTTTAGAATTGTCTTTAAATGATCAATCGTGCTCAGCAGGCAGCAGCGTGCAAGTGGCACACACATACATGTATATTATATAGATAATGCATGCAGTTGCCAGATCT